AGGAAGTATACCAGGATCCAGCATTGGGAATCACCCGAGTTAATCCCTAGGGACACCAAAGCAAGCTGTGTGGAGCCAAAACCTTTTCACAGATCTGGGGTAACATAGTCACCACCTCCCTGGGGCCCAGGAAGACAGGTTACTTCTGGGGGTTGCTTAAGAATATTACCAATGGCCATGGGGCATTAGGCTAAACTGAATGATAGGCCTAGGGAAAGTACCTACAATTTAGGAAGTATTAGAGCCAGTCACACACTGGGCAGATCATTTTGTGGACGATGCACATGCTTGTTATCATATCTGTGGTGTTCAAAAAATTCAAGAGACACAGTTTCTGGGTAATTAATCATTTCATTAATACTGTTAGCATATTACCAATTAAATGGGTCAGTGATACTCTCGAATGCCAAAGAGAATTATAGCCCTCCCTATAAGCCCTTAGAAGAGTAGGTGGGCAATCAACTCTGATTGGTCAACAATTAATGAGAAGAATGAACATTACCATGAGAGGCAGGTCTATTCTAATGAGGGGCTCGGGATGTAACTTTGATTTACTTCTAAATTGCCCAGCCTGGGCCAAAGTAATCAAAGAATTTATCCCCACCGAAACTTGAGTAGAGCACAATAGGCTTCCCCACGTGGGTGGGGTTTGAATGAGATCCTGTAGACAGTTAATTCAATGTCATTATCAGCAATCTGTCCTTTTGAGACTGAATGACCTATAAACTTCTGAAAAAATCCTAGTCCTAATTCAATAATTGATTATTAAGGGAGAAATAATAATTTTTCTCGTATCTTATGTGTATGTATACTGTCATTCAATAAACATTTATTAAGCATTTGTCATGTGGCAGACACCATGCTAAGCACTGGGGACACAAAGACAAAAGATAGCCCCTGCTTTCAAGGAGCTTACCTTCTAATGGGGAAGACCACACAGAAAAGGAAACTGAAGTGGGGTGGACTGGGGTGGGTCAGGGTGAGGAGGAGACTGGAAGATACTAGCATTGCAAAGAGGCATGAATACCATGCCTGGCACATAGTAGGCACATTTTAATAAGTGCTTGTTAACAGTAATAGCTGCATTTATATAGCACTTCAAGGTTTGCAAAGAGTTTTACTTGTGTTATCTCAGATGTCAAGTCTCCAAAGGGCTATAGGGGCAAGGGAAATAAAGAGATGACCGGCCTGGGCATCCTCTTTAAATTCTGGAAAGAGCACTTCACCCTACAATCAGAGGAAGGGGCCCCAGGGACAGAAGGTAGCAGTGAAGTAGGAGGTGGAGTTTGGGGGTTGAAGTGATTTTCCAGGATGAAGAGATCCCTGGTGTGGATAGCAAAGGCCAGAGGGGCCCAGCCTGGTGAGAAATGGTCATAGGATGACAGAGTTAAAGCCAGAAGGGACTTTAGAGGTCATTGGGTCCCCCTCCAGGGGCTACCCCTGCCAAGTCCAGCACTTCTTCCTTCCCTTTATTGCACGCTGCTTCTGGATTGGATTGGATTGGGGGAATTAAGCAGCAGTAGCACTTTCAGTGATCTCAGGCTGTTCCAAAAACCCTTCTCTCTGACATCCATATTCTTCCAGCCATGCTATGTGACTATGAATCATGAAACATCACGATCACAGGCACTTCAAAATAGCAGATGACCTAAAGCAATGCAAAGGCACAGAATTCAGGTATAAGTAGGTTGTGCCATATTGCCAAAAATGGTCTGCCATTGATGATGTCTTTTATGTCACTTCTCAAGGGCACCCATGACACAGAAAAGGAGATGTGCCTGTCCCTCATTTAGAGCAAGGGATAACAGATGGACAGCCAGAGTGTTGCATTCGTTTCCATAAAATATTCAAAGGACCAGAAGATCTTCAGTGGGCAGCTCTTCAGTGGAGGATTTCATGGAAGACAGGGACAAGAATTACATGGGATGAGGAAGCATGAAGGTGTCGCCATCTCCACCATATCAGGAATTCCCTCTTCCTCACTCCTCACCCCCCACTCTTGGAATCCCTTGTTTCTTTTGAGACTGAGCTCAGGCACCATCTTCTACAGGAAGTCTTTCTGGATTCCTCCTCTGTACACCTATGCACACCCAGCTCCTAGAGCCCGCCCTCCCTAAATTAACTTGTGTTTACTTTGTATATATTCTCCACATGCTTATTTTTGCACATTTTCTTCTCTCCCCACCCCCAACCCTCATTAAATGTAAGCTTCTTGAGGTCAGGACCCTTTACATCTGTCTTCTCTTGCCTTCAGCCACTTGTGTAGCCAGGCACATACTAAGCAATTAAAGGCTGATTGATTGATTTACAGTACTAATATCCACATCACTTCAGTAGAGATCCTTGAAACACAGTTAGGTACAAAATACGGTACAGGTAAATATGGTATCCACAAATGGAGAATATCCTCCACATCTCTTAATGAGGAGATACATATAGTAGGTACTCAATAAATATTTGTTGCATGATTGAATCTAACAAATTTCTTTCAAAGTTCAAGCCTTAACTTATTTGGGAAACCTTTCCTCACTCTCTCAGTCCACAGGGAACTTTCCAGTGTAAGTCTCTTAAAGTTAAGGACTAAACACTTTATTATACATGATAGGCAGCTAAGTATACAGTGGATAGAACCTAGGTCCAAAGCAGGGGTGGGGAACTTGCCAAAGACTCTAGGTCCTCAAGTGGGCCTCTTTGACTAAATCCAAACTTCACAGAAAAAAATCCCCTTAATAGAAGGATTTGTTCTGTAAAACTTGGACTTGGTCAAAAGGCCTCACCCAAGGACCTAGAAGGCTTTGACTAAATTCAAACTTCACAGAACAAATCCCCTTAATGAAAGGATTTGTTCTATAAAACTTGGACTCAGTCAAAAGGCCTCGCCCAAGGTTCTAGAAGGCCACATGTGGCCTGAGGTTCACCGCCCCTGGTCTACAGTCAGGAAGACCTGAGTTCTAAATATGATCTTAGATACTTAACTAGCTGTGCAATCCTGAGCAAGTTACTAACCTCTGTCTGCTTCAGTTTGCCTCACCTGTAAAATGGGAATAATAATAGCATCTACCTCCAGAGCTGTTGTGAGGATCAAATGAGATGATAATTGTAATGCGCCTTGCACATAGTAAGAACTATATAAAGGTTAGCTATTATTATTAGCTATTATCTCATACTTTATTATTTATTGTCTTGGGCATTTTGTTTTATGCATATATGTCTCATTTCTGTATATTCTGAATTCTTTAAGTGTGGAGACCAAATCTCAGAATCACAGAATGTTAGTATCAGGAGGCTTAGAGATTCTCCAATCCAAATGATTAAGAGTAGAGTGATTCACCCAGGGGCATCTTCTTTTGTACCTCTCCATAGTACTTGAGAATAAAGTGAGAACCTTATAAAGAGTTGTCTTTGGAGGTGGGAGACCAAGGAAGAAGACATAGCCTCTGGCCTTGTGGGTCAGTGGCTGACTCAGGAAAAATGAAGCACAACCCTACAGAGGAATGCAAAGAAAGGCCTGCTCTCACAGAGACACAGATAGGTACATCCCTGTAAAGTCCAGGTATGCTACTTACCAATGTTACCAGTGAAGATTGGACATTGCCTCTACTCAGGCTTACTCTGATGGGTCATCACACACAGTGGGTCTTACTAAGCTGGAAAGGTTTTAAGAACATGGCACCCAGCAGCTGACTGTTTGTCCAAGGCCCAGCCTAGCTAAGTTCATCACCAAATAATATATTTGTTTTAGCCATAGCAATTCATTAAAGCAACTAGTAATGTATGGAAGGGCTGTGATCTGTGATATGCATCAGTGAAGGGTACACTGAAGAATTATCCTAAAAACTACAGGCCCTTGAATTTTTCTGTTCTTTTTAAATGCTTAATGATGCTCTTTTGCTCATCCTTTAAAACATTTGGTTTTTTTTTAATAACACCATCACTTCCCCCCATATTGGGGACAGCTAGGTGTCACAGTGGATGGAGTGCTGGGCCTGAAGTCAGGAAGATTCATCATCCTGAGTTAAAATCTGGCCTCACATACTCACTAGCTATGTGACCCTGGGCAAGTCATTTAACACTGTTTGCCTCAGTTTCCTCATCTGTAAAATGAGCTGGAGAAAGGAATGGCAAACCACTCCAGTATCTTTTCCAAGAAAACTCCAAATGGGGTCACAGAGAGTCTAACATGAATGAAACAACTGAACAACAACACTTCCCAATGACTCTCCAGCCCAGGGTGGGGAACTTGGGGCCTCGAAGCCACACGGGACCCTCGAGGCCCTCAAGTTCAGCCCTTTGACTGAATCCAAACTTTACAGAAAAAAAACCCTTAATAAAAGGATTTATTCTGTGAAACTTGGACTCAGGCAAAAGGCCACACCCACGGACCTAGAGGCCTCAAGGCCCCAGGTTCCCCATCCCTACTCTATCCCATCATACGACCCTTCCTTTTAGCAAAATAAGGTCAGACAAGCAAGATATATCAACACATTGACCAGCTCTGAAAACATATGCCTCTTTCCACACCAGTAGTCCACTACTTCCCTGTGGAAAACTGTATATGTATAAGGGAGAGAAGGAAAGGAGTTGACCCTGGTCGAATCTTAAAATTCGTTATCAGAAATCATCAGTTCCTTTATCTTGGGGCTCAGAGAACAAAACAATAGCATCTTAATATCAGAGTAGTCTCTACCCTCCTACACCTACTCTATTAATACACATAGTTATTAATGTGTCAGATTCCTACACTTTGTCCTGTCTATCCAGTTTTTCCTTCTAATAGGAGGAATTCCCTTTAAGAAAGCCAGATTATTTTCATCCTGTCACAAGTTGGAAATACACACTGGACATTCTTAAAGTTTGCCACACATACTTTCACCCAGACAACAATCGGCAGACCTGAACTGTGAGAGGTGTGAGAGGGGACAAAAACCACTGTTAGTGATTTCCTAGGCTCTCACTCCCACTAAGCTCCTCCTCCACGCTGCCAACGCCAACTCCTTGGGCATGCTGGGAAAACCACCCATCCTGGTCTCTATCCTAGGTCCAAAGTCTACCTTAAGCCCAAGGCACTGAGAACAACTGGAGGCGTCACACCACTGGGCTCCATTGCCCTCTCTCAGGTACTGAGGTCCACAATCCTTAACACTAAAAACGGAGTCCAAATTAGGGCAAGGACTAGGTGTCAAGTTGGGAAGGGGAGGGAGCCTGATGACTCCCATGGAGAAGCTGAGGGCCATACAGGTAAGTGCAACAATGGTGATGGCTTGGGTGGGCTGAGCAGGGTAAGAGCTAGAACAGGAATTTTGAGAAAGGGCAGCAAAGTGCAGCTAACTCCAGACCACAAGAAGCAGAACGTCTGAGAAACTGGCAACTGAGAAATAAGGGGGGCAAAACTACAAAAGGCTAGGGCCTGAGACAAAAGTTTGAGGATGGGTCCTGTAGGAGGGAGGAATTGAGAAGGCTCAAAGCTGCCGGGACAAAATGCTCACCGTTCCTCATTCTCAGGGGGTTGGGGCCCATCTGAAGTCGCAAAAGCAATGGCAAGCAAAGAGGATGGACTGCGGAGCTGTGCTGTATGCGGGGACAGGGCCACTGGCTATCACTTCCACGCCCTGACCTGTGAGGGCTGCAAAGGTTTCTTCAGGTGAGATCCGTTTTCCCATATAGACAGCCACATGAATGAGCCTTCAAACAGCTGATCACTCTGCCCCTAGGCCCCCATAGAACATAGGCTCGGCCATCTCATATCAGTCATGGGGCCCCATTTCCATGTTCTGCAGCCCCTGACCCCAAAGCCAACACTCACAGTCTTGCCAACCCCAACACTGTACAAACAAGTAGAAGGCAAAGACGGAACCCTGAACTTTTGTCTCAGATTTACTGCCAGCTTATCTACTCGCAGCAGTAAATATTTGCCATGTGCCAAACAATACTTACCGCATTACTGAACTTGATACAAAAAGGACTCAAATCAAGTTACTGCACAGACTGTCATGACTGGGCTATATAATTTAGAGCCCTACAGAAAACCTTTAGAAGATTGGGATCAAGGTCCCTAGGCCCTAGAGGTCCCTCAACCTCTCTCAAGTAGGCTTGGATGTAATGCATTCCTAAATCGGCTGTGACAATAGCCATTCTCTGCAGAGCACCGAATTACCCGAGCTTTCCCACATACCCTTGGTCTCCTTACATGCTTCAGATCGGCCCATGCCATCCGCTCCACACAGATTCCCCAGAGACATTCCTCAGCCCAGGCCACACAAACTTTCATTTTTCTCTGACTCCTTCCTATGCCTTATTAGTCCTGCATCACCTCTCTGTGTCTCACAGGCGAACTGTCAAGAAGGGCATGGGACTCACCTGTCCTTTCGAACAATGCTGTGAGGTCAGCAAAAACCAGCGGCGCCACTGCCCAGCTTGTAGGCTACAGAAATGCTTTGATGCAGGCATGAGGAAGGACAGTGAGTCAGCCTCAACCTATCCCCTGGGAAGGGTGGCATACTGGGGAGAGCACTGGACTTGGTAGGCCTGGGTTCAAATTCTACCACCACTCCATACCGGTCATGTAACTCCAAGGGCCATCTTACTTTCCCTGACCCAACCTTCCATTTTCTTTCTGTAGGTATTAAGACCCTGAGGCCATGTACTGTCACCCGTCTCTTGCACCTCCACACCTGTTGGCCCTATCCTCTCACATCACCTTTACACTCATAGAACAGCCTTTCTCTTTTCACCAGAGCATGTATGAGAGGCCCTGGCATCACAAACCTTTCCAACGCTCTCCCACCTTGAGCTATTCCCTAGTGCGGCAGCCTGCAAATTTGATGGCAATAGGCCAGAGACCCCTGCAAGCTGTCCTTACCCTATGGAACCTTAAAAATCTTTAGGGCCCCTGAAACCATTGAAGGGTAACTTTGGGCGACTTTATAGCCATGGCAGAGCTGTTTTCAGCCCAGAGGAGCTCCTGGAGCAGAGGCCTGGTATGGTTAGACTCCACCTCTCTCAGCATCTCTTTTGTCTCTTCTGGAGCACAGTGATCCTGTCAGCAGAAGTCCTGGCACAGAGGAGGGCAAAGCAGGCACAAAAGCGGGCAGAGCAGGAACCTGTGCAGCTGAATCAGAAGCAGAAGGCATTAGTCCAATTGTTACTAGGGGCTCATGCCCGCCATGTGGGCACCATATTTGACCAGTTTGTGCAGTTCAGGGTGAGTACCTGCTGAGATCAAGGTGCGAAGAGCTCCAGAAGAAAAAAAGGGGGGCAGGAAGACTAGAGCCAGAACACTAAGAAATGCGTCTAACTTGTCCCCATTACATATGATTCTTGCTGAAGGTTTTAGGTAGATGCTATTTATTATTTTAAGGAAGACTCCATTTATTCCCATGCTCTCTAGTGTTCTTAATTGGAATGGGTGTTGTATTTTGTTAAAAGCTTTGTCTGCATCTATTGAGATGATCACGCGGTCTCTGTTAGTTTTGTTGTTGATACGCTCAATGATGCTGATAGTTTTCCTAGCATTGAAACCAGCCTTGCATTCCTGGTATAAATCCTACCTGGCCATAGTGTATTATTCTTGAGATAAGTTGCTGTGATCTACTTGATAATATTTTATTTAAAAGTTTTGCATCTACATTCGTTTGGGAAATTGGTCCATAATTTTCTTTCTCTGTTTCGACTCTTCCTGGTTTGGGTATCGGCACTAGCCAGAGCACTAGGGAAGGCTGACCTGTGCAGGAGGTTTGAAGGCTAGTGTTTGGGATGCCAGCTCCAAGAGACGGAACTGCTTCATGGCCAAAGAATGGCTATTAGCCCCTTCAGCCCGGGAGGGGTGAAAGCACCAAGTCGATGCTTGAGCCACGGCCTCTGACTTTCCGTCCTTGTAGCCGCCAGCCCATCTGTTCACACGCCACCAGCCTACGCCCCCTCTGCCACCTGCGCTGCCGTTGCTCATACACCTAGCGGACATCAGCACTTTCATGGTGCAGCAAGTGATCAAGTTCACCAAGGACCTGCCCCATTTCCGGTCAGTGAGCCCTTCCGCCTCTGCGCGGCCTGGGGAAGGACCCTTTCCTAACCCTCTCTGCCGTGTCCGCGGCAAGCTCTCCCGCTCCCAGCCTTGTTGTCGCCCGCCTTCACGAGGGCTGAGAACTCCTGCCTAGCCTTTGGCCACTCCGCCCTTCCGTAGGGGGTCTCTCAGCGATCCAGCTCAGCTCCTCCGTTGTTCTCCTACCCTACAGGTCTCTGCCCATGGAAGATCAGATATCCCTACTAAAGGGCGCAGCCCCGGAAATCTGTCACATCGAGCTCAACACCACCTTCTGCCCCCACAGCCACACTTTCCTGTGTGGGCCTCTCCGCTATACCCTCCAGGATATAGCTCATGGTGAGGGGGCACAGCTCCCCGTGCACTGCCCCTGATAGAATGTGGTTGGGAGGGCTTGGGAAGCAGCTCAGGAAACTGGTCTTGCCCTTGAACCCGCTGTGTCCTTCAGTGGGGTTCCAGGAGCAGTTTCTGGCAGCGATGTTTCGTTTCCATGTGACGCTGAGGCGACTGCAGCTGCAGGAGCCCGAGTATGCGCTTATGGCAGCCTTGGCCCTCTTCTCTCCAGGTGAGAAACCCCCAAGTCCCCAGAGCTCTGCTTCTGGCACCTCTTCAACCTTAAATGCCATCACTCTCCACCTCCCACGCCTCAGGTAGACCCGAGACAACTCTACCATCTCCATTTCTCTGTCCTGTCAACTCTCCCCCCCCCACCCCGGCCCCCTCACCCCCAGACCGACCTGGTGTGACACAGAGGGAACTGATTGACCAGATGCAAGAGGAGATGGCGCTGACACTGCAGAGCTACATCAGGGGCCAGCAAGCCCGGCCCAAAGGCCGGTAAGAACAAGCTTCCTGACTCTTGCTTTCCTGAGAAAAGAGGCTACCCATGCTGAGCTTCCTCTTCTGTTCCACTCCCATTCCATCTTGCAGCACGTCCCAGCCACTCCTGTGCCCCAGTCTCCAAAGAAGAGATGGTCCCTCTTTGTGCCAAGGCCCATCCTTCTCCTTGTGCTGTTGATCCCATCCTCGTCCCCACCAATCAACAGATCCTGTCCTTTCTCTCATCTTCAACCTTTCCTTGTCCACCAGCTCTCTCTCTTGGAACGAGCTTTAAAGAGCTTCAGTTGATCCCGCCGTCACCTCACACTATCCAAAATCCCAGATCTGGAGAGTTGGGAGGGGTCTCACAGGATGTCTAGGCCATCCTCCTAGAGTCCTTCTCCCTTTCCCAGCTAAACTCCAAGAAAAGATCATCTATACTGTCTGCCTCCGTGTCCTCACCTTACACTCACTTCTCAATCTCTTACAATTTGGCCCCCACAAATCAACTAAAAGTACTCAGCACAAAGTTAATACCAAATACCAAGTCAATTACCAAATCCAATGGCCTTTTCTCTATCCTCATTTTGATCTCTGAAACCCTGAATACAATCAACCATCCTCTCTCTAGGATGATTCCTTCCTCCCTTGGCTTACAATTACATGAAGCTTTCTCCTCTTTCTTCTTTTGACCACTCCTCAGTTTCTTTATCATCCATTTCTTGCCTCTTTAGAATGGGCATTATCTAGGGTTTTGCAGCAGGCCTTCTCACTTTCTTGTGATATCAGTTCCCATGGGTTCAATGATCACTTTTGCACAGGAATCCTCAATCTACATGTTCAGTTCTAATTTCTCTCTGGAGCTCTAGGCCTACGTTGCCAAATGTAGACTTCTCCACCTGGATATCCCATTAGTCTCTCATTCAAAATAGTCCGGAGTTCGCTTCCCCCTCAGCCCATCCCTCTCTCAAACTTCTTTGTTACTGCTGAGAGCACCATCATCTTCCCAGTCGCTTTGGTTTGTCACCTTGGAATCCTCCTTGACTCTTCTTTCCCCTCCCATAGGAAATTGGTGGCCAACTCTTGTTGATCTTGTCCTCACTACATCCCTGGCATCCACTCCTTCTTTGTATTTGTGTCCCTAGCAATTAGCACAGTGCCCGGCACATACTTAACTAACTGGTTGACATTCCCCTTCCAACTCCCCCCAAAACTCCAATTCAGGTCCTCATCACCTCTAACATAGACTCTTGCAATAGATTCCTAATTGTCTTCCCTGCTTCTAATCTCTCCCTTTCCATCTTTCAGAACTACCAAATTATTACTCTACAGATCTACACACCTCTGCTAAAAACATTCTTCAGCAACATCAACATCATGTTGCTTCTAGAATAAACCACAAACTCCTCAGCTTCAGGAGTTCAAGGGCCTCGATCTGTTCCCCTCACCTTCCTTTCCAGACATATTTCATGTTACTAATGTTTCACGGACTCTCCATCTCCAGGCCCTTGCACTGAATGTCCCCTCAAGCCTGGAATGCATGCTCCTCACACACTTCCCTCAAAAGAAAGTGTGGGGTAACAAAAAGAGCAGTGATTGGGTTTGGAGCGAGCAAAACCCAAATTCAAATCCTGCCTTGAACCCTTACTGTCACCCGAGGGGAATGCCACGCCCTCTGAAAAAGAGGGGTTCACCCCTCTAGTACTTCGCTCCCAGGGCTGTTCTGAGCATTACATGAGGAAAAGGTTGCAAAGCTCTAGGGAAATGTTTTCTTTCAAGCCCTAGCTTTGGGAAGACTTCCTGTGCTTAGCCTTTCTTAAGTCCTCCATGTTATTGCTCTCTCCTCTCCTGGAATTACTTTGCATTTACTTGTCTGCATATATGTTTTATCTCCACAATAAAACGTAAACTCTTTGAGGCTTGAAAGTGTTTCTTTAGAAAAACATCTGTATCTCAAGGCCTAGCGTTGCACCTTCCATGTAGTAAGAGCCTAATGTTTGTTAACTTGAACTGAGACCTCATGTTCCGGCTCAGGCTGAATGCCTTTCAATATCCTTTCCTTTTGTGGACCAGGTTCTCCAGGGGTCATCTAGTCTTTCTCCTTGGACAAAAATGGTCCTTATACCTCACATGTCTCATAGCTAAATCCCTCTTGCTGCAATTTAATTCTATTTTTTCCCCAGTTCTTTATTCATTAGTAATAGAAAATAGCTGAACCTTGTGTTCCATATTATGGTTCTTCCAGGGCTTAAAATAACCAACTCTGCCATTCAACAATCCCCATCTTTGTTTCTCTAAAGAAACCTAACCCTTTTCACTTTTCCTCCTTCTATTCTCTTTTTCCAGCCCTCCTCTACTCTATCCATTAACTTTCCCTGATTCTCATTTCCCTTTGAATTTGAGGATGAAAACTGGCCCCAAGACCCATATCTGGCCAAGGGTCAGGCCATTCTCAATTTATTCTTCCCCAATCCTCTTGCTCTTCTTTTTCTCTGTAGAACCACCTTAAGAAAAGGTCAGAACTGACCATGACTTGCTTTACTTCTCCAACCAAACAGCAAGAGTTCTTAGAACCTATTTTCAACCCAGCCTCAGATAACTGGACTAAAAGCCTAGTCTCTTTAAAAATGTTTGCCATTACCTTAACACAGCCCTACCCCTTCTCCCACATCCAGCCTTCACCGGATGCAGAGTTCAGAGAACCCCCTGCTCCTGTCAACACATACACTATGGAGACCAGAGGAGTCAAACCCCGACAGGCTGCTAAGCCAATGTATTCTGGGCCTGCTGGCTGGTTTTCTTTAGAATACAGGCCTGGGTTTCATTTTCACAGCTGCTCGGTGGAGAAGACTCAGGGGCCCAGGGCCAAACCTTCAAGTCTATAAGATTTTGGCCTACTTTTCTTTGCTTTTTCTTCCCCAGTGGGGATGAGGGGGCCCCTAGAAGTTCTGAATAGGTGACCCAGTCAGTGATGTTCAACTCTGCAGGTTTCTCTATGCAAAGATGCTTGGGCTACTGGCAGAACTTCGAAGTCTCAACACGGAGTACGGGCACCAGCTGCAGCACCTTCATGAGCTGTATGCCATGATGCCTCTGCTACAGGAAATCTACAGTTGAGATGCTGCCCGCTCCTATACCCCACAACATGCTCAACTAACAACCTGTCCCTACCCACCCACCCATCTGGGATATTCTCCAAACATCTACTTTAGCTTTCCTAAACAAAAGCAGCAGCTGGCCCTTCCCTTCCCCTCTGCACAGTTCCTACAGGACCATAGAGGGCCTCATGTCCAGATCTGAAGTCAAGACCAGTAGTAAGGAAGAGGTCCAGGGGCCACACACCCCACCCCGAGGTGACCAGTGAATGACTAAGGCAACACCACATCTCCATGTTGCTGTCGAGGAAGGGCCATATATTCATTCATTCATTCATTCTCTAGTCTGCACGGGGAAAGGGTCAGAGCTGGTTTCACAAGTGAAGCAGTGCCCACTGGGTACAGGCCGAAGCAGCTGCAGCCATAGCCCTGTTCCCTATTCCAGCACTAGGCGCAGAGCTGATGAGTAGGATGGGATTCGTACCCACCTAGGTTTCTTAGCTCTGCTGAGGGTCAGTGAGGAGAATTGGCTTTAATACACAGGGATGGAAGAAAGCAATCAGACATAATCATAGCCCTCCCCCTCAGTCCAGAGCCTGCCAGTCTCAAGGGCTTAGAGAGGAAAGCAGTCAGGCAAGAGTTCTGGGAAGACAGGAAAGCCTCCCATCCTGCCCATTTTGATAGCTCCAGTTAGCAGGGGGGCTCTGTCCAGGCCCTCACTCATCCCATGGAGTTACACTGAGCAAACTGGTCTCTGGGAAGAGACCCAGAGCCTGGCTCTCTCTCTTTTTCTCAGATGGCTTCAAGTGCTCAGGGGAGCCATCTCCAGCTTTCTCATCCCACAGTGATGCTGAAGCCACAGTGAAATCTGTTACGCCAGTGATTGAGGAAGGCTCCAAGTGCCAGGGTGACAGGTAGAGGGGGCATCTTCTTCTCTAACACAGCAGCAACACACCAGTTGCTATCCACGAGGCCTGAAAAAAATAACAGACTATCAGAGGGGGGAGCCAATACCACACCTTGGGGGTGAGGGGAGAGCACAACAGATCAGGCATCCTTCAGTCAGTCAATAAATATAAATCAAGTGCCTACTATGTGCCAGGCACTGTGCTAAGTGATGCCACAACTCTACTCCACCAGGATCCTCTTCCCTATCCCTATACCCCCCCTCACCTCTGAACACCATGTTGGCCTGGGGCAATGTCAAGTGGTATCCAAAGGAGAAGGTGGTGTCCTGCAACCGAGTGTTTGCCTCAAACTCTACTCCAACCTGAACCTGCGCCCCCACGGGTGGGGAGAAAAGAATAAATAGGGCTGGTGAGGGCCATCAGGAAGAACATGAAAGGGTCAGCGGGGCTCCGAGTGAGGACTGGCATGATGGGGACAAGCAGAGGTGATGAAGAACACTTGAGTCTGGCTTGGGTGCGGGCCTCACCTGCTCATTTGCCCTGTGGTAATAACTTGCGTGGGCCCCGCCTGACCCCACATTCAGTGTAGCCACCCAGTGCAGAGCTGCAAGAACCAACAGGGGGTGGCGGTCACTAATGGTCATTAATGGAACACAGGCCACAGACCCCCGAGCAGACCAGAATCAGCCCAACCTCATCCCCATCCTGTCTCATTTCATACCAGAGTACTTCCCAGCCAGCGTCAGGATAGCCCCCTCCTCTCCTGGGCGCCGGTGATATACCAGCTCTCCCCCCAGCACCAGACGTTGAGTAAGGCTCTGCAGGAAGTGAGCGACCATGATCACTGTGTGGGGGGGAGGTGGGGGGTGGGGAAACATGGGGTCAGGGAGTAATCAAGGAACCCCCTTTGCCCAGGACCAATACCCCACCAGGAGCTTCCCCAACTACACATCCCTCAAAGCAGTATGGTTATAGTAAGGAAGCCTCCCCCTTCATTCTGCCCTTAAGCCATATAGACAAAAAAAAAAGGGACAGAAAAGGAGAAGCGATGGCTGGGCAGCTGAGGTTAGAAAGGGAAGGTTTCCACCCTCCCCCTCTCCAGCTCCCCACACTGGTTCCTCACCTGATTCCCCAATCAGGTCAGGGTTCCCCAGTGTCAGAGTGGCAGTATAGTCATCCCCCCCGATACTCCCCATCAAACTGCCACGTCAGGAACTTGGCCTGTTGGGTCTAGATGGAAAAGAAGTAAGCCTCGACCGCTTCAACCCCACGCCAACCTCCCCAGTAAATTCACAACCCCTTTCACATTTCCAGACCCTGACAATCCGCCACCCCAGGTAACACTTCTCTCCATATCTTTAGAATAGGGATACCCTTGGTTGGAGGAAGGCAGTGTGCTATGGGGGTCAGTACTGGTGGGTCACCTGGAAGACTGCCTTGGCTCGGAGCCGCTCTGCCACGAGAAGCAGGACCTGGGCATTGAGGCTCCCCACTGCTGTCCATATCCCCCACAACAGTAGGGAACACCTGTCGGAGAAGATGGCTCGGTGAGAGGGACTCTGCCGGTACCAACATCCCATTCCAAAAGCCAATGGCAGTACTTTCACAATTGTATCCAGCGCCCTCTGGTGGAACCAGAAAGATGGACACAACCCACAACGAAAAAAGAGGACCGTCTTTTCTGCCTACTCAGACACATAAAAGCTATAAAGGATCTTAGAAATGCTATCTAAGAAACATATCTATGAAGACACTGCTGGGTGAACTGTGAATTGGTCCGACCATTCCATTAAGCAATTTGAAATTACGTTAAAAAAGTGATTTAAAATGTCCACACTCTTTCACATGTAGATCTCATTGCTAGGCTTTTACGCCACAGAGGCCAAAGACAGAAGCATAAATTCCAGAATATTCATGGTAGTACTTTTTGTGATGACAAGAAACTGAAAACAAAACAGATGCCTATCCACTGGGGAACAGCTAAATAAGTTACAGTATGTAGATATAATAAAATATCAATAATCTGTAAGAAAAATTAATATGGAGAATTCAGAGAAACATAGGAAAACTTATATGAACTGTGGAAGGGTAAAGTGAGCAGAACCAGTAAAATGATATACACAGTAATGACGACAATGTAAACTGACAGAAAAAAATTAGAATCCTATATATTAAACTATAAGTTCTTTGAGGGCAGGGACTATCTTTTGCCTCTTTTTGTAAGCACTTAGCACAGTGCTTGGCAAATGGTAGGCATTTAATAAATGTTTTTTGATTGACTGATCGGAAACTTGGGTGGAAGATGTTAGTGGGATGGAGACAGAATGGTTATTCCTCAAGAAGTACCCCCTACCCTTCATTAGATCTTCCCAGACTCAGGTCCTGCAAAAAGAAAACCTTTTCAACCTCATCTTCACGGTATTCACTTAGGTTTCTGGTGGGATAAACCAACTGTTTGATCCCCTTACCTCAGTAGAACTGAGCTGTTGGTCACCAACAAAAGCAGCATGGAGGTGATAACCTGACAAGCCCAGGGCACTCATGTGCACAGTGTGGGTCACCTGAAGAAGAAAGGGTTATAGGAGTGTAGGTTAGCAGATTAATGGGGAGCTCCTCTCTTTCTTGCCACTCAAGTAACCCCTTAACAAACCACATATATGAGGGTCACCCTGATTTGTAATTCCAGTCCTTCTCTATCCCCTACTCCCTCCCCACAAGGCTAAGAGGTAAAAGGATACAGGAGTCACTGGTTTTCTTCCTACCATTTTGAGTCATATATACAGCCTAGCTAGAGGTTGGAAACAATAGATGGCAGGATGAAGGGGTTCAGGAATAGGTCAGGATAAGGGGAGCGGTGGTCTGGGTGGAAGGAATCAGGTCCAGGGGATTTCTACTGGAAAATGAGAACACCTGGAAATGGCTGCTCAGAACCTTGTTGACAATGAACTTCACTCCCTCCATCTGTACTGGGAACACATCTAAAATACAGGAACAAAAGAAAGGATTAGTCTAGACAGGGGCCCTCTAATCACAAGGAAACCTCCTCCCAAAGAGAAAGGATAGATGACTGAAGGGAATTACTCACTCCTTAAGCCTTGTAATTCAGATACCCCCATCTAACCATGACCTACCACTCCTGGGACTATTCACCCAGGCCCTGGGAAGCTATCTTATCAATTTGACCTCTGTAATATAGTTCATCCATCCACCCCTCTGTTCCTCATAGGGGTCTCCCATTATGATTCATGGACGCTAGCTTCCTAACAGATGTTTCCTACTTCTAGTCTCCCTTCCACTCCAATACATCCTTCATGCCACAACCAGAATATTCTTCCATATACTCCCTTTCTAAATCCTTTCTGTGACTCCCTGTTGCCTGAATAAAAACTGAATGCCTGGCATTTAAAGCTCTCCACAATCTAGTGCCATTTTATTTCAGGCCAATGCCCTTCATGTAGTCTAGACTCTAACCAAACTGGACTACTCTGTCGCTAAAACATGCCCTAAACTTCCTAACCTCTATGCCTATGGTCATGCTATTCCATATATCTGAAATGTCTCCCCTTCCTTAATCCTTAAAAGTCTAACTCAAATTCCACCTCCTCCAGGGAGTTTCTCTTCCTTCCTCCAGTTAACCTTTCCCCTTTAGACTTCATGTACATTCTACAGCTCTCTAATGTACTAAACAGGTAATATTGCATATTACAGTCTTCATACACTTTATACCTTTCCACACACTACAATCCAGCTATGGGGGCCTATTTTCTTTCTCTTGCCCAAGATACTCCATCTCTCCTGTCCCCCACGCCTAGAATACTGTCCCTCCTCACCTCTACTTACCAACTTTTCAAGATTCAGCTCAGTTCCCACCTGCAGAACTTTCTCCCCCCACCCCTTCCCTCTAAGAGTTCCTTCCATTTACATTGTATATGTTGCATGCTACATAGTTGTTTGTACGTAGTTTGAACAATTGCAATGTGAGCTCAATCAAGTCAGGGATTGTGTTTGCCTTTCTTTGAATCCCCAGCACTTTGCTCAGTGCCTCGAATTATTTAAGAGGTTACTTAATAAGTTACCTGGGTATGTTCCTTATCCCCAAACTAGACAGTAATCACTGGTATCCCTCCCGGCCAAAAAGTGCAGGGCTTGGTAAACAATTGGTGCTCAATGAATGACGAACTGAGTTCCGACCCTTAGGTTTTCAGCCAGGATCCCCACCTTTGCAGAGCCGGTGCAACTCATCGAAACTCCCCGGGTTGGGCAGCGGCTCCTCGCGACGGGCGCTTCGGCGGGGCAGAGCTCCCGGAGGAGCCAGGCCCAACATGTTCCCCATCTCAGCCTGGGGGAGGGTGGGGGTGGGGTCCAGGAGAGGGGTCGCTACTGACCTCCCCAGCCCCCGCCGACCCCACCCCCCGCTACCCAGCACCCCAACCCCGGGTGCCTCGACATGCTCGGACCCTGCAGCTGGAACGGAGGAGGGGAGTGGAGGAAGAGAGAGATATCAGTGGGACAGACTGGTAACTCAGCCCCTCCGTACCCCACCTGTCGCCCCAAAGCCATGCCCAGCTCCATCACCTACCCTCCAAGGGGCTCCCTAGCCCCGCCCGCCGCCCCCGGACCCCGCAGCCTTAAAGTCCACTCTTCCATCTTCCTTTGCTCTTTCCGCTGCATCCAGATGACCCCAAGTACAGTCTGGCTCTGCATCCACGGTCCTTACCTGCTCAGGCCACCGCGCCACCCTTCTACCCCCGGCACACCCCGGTCATCTTGATGGGGGCGGCCATCTTGAGTGAGGGCAGAGCCGCGGCTTCACAGCGCCCTCCTAGCGCGGCCGCGAGCGCCATCTTGGATCCTGGCAGCAAGGGGAGGAAAAATCACCCCTCGCCACGTGGGCATCAGGTGCCGCCCCCTGTCTCTATCCCACCAATGAGGAAGGAGATCTCCGTGTTTCAAAGGCCAATGAGAAAAAAGGAAATCGTGGCGTAGAGGGCTGAGGGGCGGGAGATTCCTGTACTGTGAGCTTGACAAGGACCTGGGAATTGGTTCATGCTGAAGCCCGAGGGCTTATACCTCCAAAGGTGCTGGGAGAATCCCAAGGATTCCAGCCCACTAAGCGGAAATGTCAGGAAAGGCCACTGCCTCCCCTTCTGCACCATCCGCACAGTGCAGAATGTGCCATGGTTCTCCAGAAGTTTTCATGTGTCAGAGGGGCATCATTCCCTCCTTTTTTTTTTTAAAGGACGGTTGTGATTTCATGAGTGCCTTGAATTTCCGATGTAGAAACGCTCTCTGCCTATGCACATTGACAACTCCTCTCTAAATTAGAGTTGCCCAGGGCTCCGAGAGGTTGGAATGATTTGACCGTGGTTGTGTTCTAGGGCAGCACTTGAACCCACGTCTTCCCGACTTTGATAGACCCTTTATCCAAACCCCATAGATACCCCCAATTCAAGACGACTCTCAACCACACACAATAGACCTGCAACAAGTATTTATTAAGCGGGTACTATGTGCCAGCGGTTGCTAAGCATTAAGAATACCAAGAAAAGGGAGGGTGCAGAGGGGAGAAACAGTCTCTGGAGCTTACAGTCTAATGGGGGAATGCAATTACGTACAAACAAAATATGTAGGCTAATTTGGAGGCAATCAATAAAGGAAGGCACGTGCATTAAGGGAGATCAGGAAAGGCTTTTTGCAGAAGGTGCCAGTTTAGCTGGGACTAGAGGAGAACTAGGAGACAGAGATGAGGAGGGAGAGAATTCCAAGCATGTGGGACAGTCAGTAAAGATCCAGGGAGCTGGAAGTTGGAGTGTCTTGTAGAATAAGTGGTAACAGCATCGGCCCCTACTCAAGAGCTTAAGTGTGTAATTGTTTCTGTTGTTCAGTCGTTTTTAGTCCTTTCCGAGGCTTTGTAATCCCACTTGGGGTTTTCTTGGCAAAGATACTGGAATAGTTTGCTATTTCCTTCTCCAGCTCATTTTACATATGAAGAAACTGAGGCAAACAGGGTTCAGTGACTGGCTCAGGGTCACACAGCTAGTATAATAGGGCGGGGCTATTTCCAGAATGCATAAAAATCAACTTACTTCTCTTCTTTGTGCGGAGAGAGGTAGAGGGGGGTTAGATGCAAAAGGAATATGGGAGTGGCTAGAAAAATATGGGAATTTCCTTTGTAAGAATGCCATTCCATTTAGCAGCTCAACCTTTCCTCCAAAGAAGAACCCATAAGAAAAGGAGGGTAACAGAATCTAGGAGTTCTCACTCCCAACTCTCTTCTTTATTCCATCACCCACAAGCCTGTTAGGACCAGTAAAGATGCCTTCCAGCCAACTTGTCTGAAAGATTATGACAGCAGGGATAGATTGCCTAGATCCTTAGTTGCTTTTTCATTAAATGCCGTATAGCTGCAGGATTATATGCTGGAATCAGAACAAATGAGCCTCTCCCCCCCAACACAATTCTGATCCCTAGTCAGCTGCAAGACCCTAGGCCCTAAGCACAATCTCACCCCACAGTCAGTTCTGTGAAACCTGATGACTCAGGCTCTGCTGACCAGTTACAATTTGCAGCAGATTAGATAAAAAGTGACTGGAAGACCTTTAACCTTTATAGCACTCTGCAGTCTTTCTCCCAGTGTCCCTTCAGAGCCATTCACTTGGTGGGGACGAGTCCGGCAACCCTAATTATTTTGTTTAGTGGCTGGGCAAGTCACTGATTATCCATTTGCCAGAAGGACATACATTCTGGCCTTCCAAATTCCATTACATATTAACCTGGGAAAAAGACAAAAACAACATTCTCTACCCTCTGACCTCAAAGCTCAGATACCCCCATCCTCCAGTCCTTATTTCTATACCTCAGCCTATAGATCCCCTGCTTAACCCCCACCCCCACTGTCTTTAAGGATTTCCCCCAAATTACAGTTTAGGGGAGAGGGAGAAAGGGTTCCCTAAACAAGAGATGACAAAACTGAGACCCAGAGACTTGGTGGAACATATGAAAAGCTTTCCAGAGGAGGATTCAGGAGTACTGGGTCCTTTCTACCTTTCCAATCTTCTTCCATTCTGATGTGCTTTAAATACTCTCTGCTACCTTCACACTAGCTGTTACTCCCCGTGCCTGGAATTCTCTCCTTCCCAATGTCGGACTCTTTGAATCCCTGGCTTCTTATAAGACTCAGCTCACTTCCTCTAGGAGGCTTTCTTGTTCCTAGCATCTGCTAATGCCATCCCTTCAGGTTAATCAATCTCTCTTTACCATCACTTTGAGCTCCTGCTTGTCCCTCCTCAGCTCTCCTATCAGTGTGATCTGTTTACCCTAACTATGATCCCTGACCCACTGGGTCTTGCCACAAACTTGGTCACCTGATGGGGGAAGGGAAGTAGGTAGGTGTATATAACCCCTTTTCCCCCTGGGCAGATTCACACAGCCAGCGACCTGACCTAGACAAGGTAGGGTGAAATCTGGAGGGCAGTGTCTATGGGGGCATTTGGGCTATGATCCTGGGAAGGAAAGGGAATGAAATGGGCTGGGGGGCTGGAGAGAGTTTTGGAAAGAGACCCAAGGAGGGTGGCCCAGGGGCTATAGCTGCTGATTCCCATTCAGTTTCTTTCCCAACCCTTTTGTCCCTAGACAGTTCAACACTGATTTGACATCACCATGAAGCTGCTTGCCCTGACTGTGCTGATCCTGACCATCTGCCACCTGGAAGGTATGTGTTAGGGAAGAGGGCAAAAGTGCCAGACCACCCAGTGGTCTGTTCTCCTATACAAACTGGGCCAGTTAAAAGATCCAAGGAGAAGGTTCCCTGGGTTCTTCCCCATTCCCCCCAACCCAGAAATCTGGTTCTTTAAAGAAGCAAGGAGCCAGATGCCTGGGTTTTGGCTAAGTTTATGGGGAGGAAGACTTTGAGCCAGACACCTGGGTTGAGACTGAGCTTGGTATGTGTATCTGTCCAGGAGCCCTGGTTCGAAGACAGGCAGAAGAGCCCTTGACAGAGAACGTATTCTCTCAGTACTTCCAGAAGCTGACTGATGTAATCAAGGAAATATCGGATAAAGTTAAAGCCCCAGAGGTTCATTCTCAAGTCCAGTAAGCATGGGAAAGGGAAATGGGCATGGGGAGCAGGTAGGGATGGAAGACCTGGGAGTGGAGATTATGGGGCTAAGGTTGAAGGACCTGCTGAACTGGGTGGGGGGGGGTTATCCTTTAGTAAGCCAGCACTTCTTGGCCACAGGAAGAGCAGTAGCAATAAGGACCCTGGAGTTCATCAGTATATTTCTGAAAGGGTTCCCTCTCTCTCCTCTTCCCCTAGCCAAAGACAGACTAGAGTTTGGTGACCTGGGTCAGTCTACCCTGACACATTTATACATTCCTCTCTCACCAACCCTTCTCCCCCTAGCCAGTTCCTATCCCCCAAATGCACTGACTTTTGTCTTCATCTATTCCTAGGGCTTATTTTGAGAAGTCACAAGAGCAAGTGGTCCCACTTGCCAAGAAGGCCTTCACAGACACAATGACCTTTTTCAGCTCTCTTGTGGAGTCGGGCAAAAAGGCTGCCTGCTAGTAGGATTTTTCCTATTCCCAGCTTGCCTTTGAACATACATATTACATAACTTCAGCCCACCCTTCCCAAACCCCTTTCAGACCAGTCTTCAAGCTGTCCTTTCCTTCCCACTCCCTGAACATCCCCTGTTTTCTACAATAAATATTACATGAGCCATGCCATGTGTCTGATGCATTTCTGAGATCTCAAATAGGCAGGGGGGGCTTTGCAATGGGGGAGGGAAGAGCGTCAAAGGTACTAGGCAGGTATGAGTACTTTCAAAGAGAAATAGAGTATTGGGGTTTGGTGTTTAGGATAAAGGGTTGTTTTTTTCCGTTCAACTAATTATCTGAGTTGGGAGGAGGTGGGGGGGTGCCTAACCTAATGAGGGGTGTTAAGGGGTAAAAGAACAAAGTGGGAAGACAAAATTAGGGAGTTCAAACTCAAGAAATCCCTCTGCAGGGTGGGAAGTAAATGTTATGGTGAGGGACAGGAGCTCACTTGGGGACCTAGGTAAGAGTATAGATTTGAGGAGCTCTGGAATGGGAGTAGGGGGAGACACACAAATTACCCATGAATAAATGTCAAAGCAATGGTTGCAAAAGGTGTCACCCAGAACATACACAACCTCCAGAATCCCTCCCCACAAAAAATAGCCTAATATTTCCTCTTCATGCTTCCTCCCTGCCCATTCATGCATCCTCACCCAATTCTTTAACCCCTCCATTCAGATCCACTATCACCTACTAACCAGGTTCCTTTCCTAGGGAAGGTCAGACTCTACGCTGTTACTATCCTAGGGCCATTGGTTTCAGCTCTCTTGGGGCCTAACACAGAGTGGATGAGATTTAAAGTCCTGGGATGTGGGGCAGGAGAGAATGAGGTTTTTTTCTAGAAACAACTCAATTTACTTTTAAAACAAATATTTCCACTAGCCTCCATTTTTATCTAATAACCTTGCCTCCTCTGCTCAGAAATCTTACTATCTTCCAGCTAACAAGGCTCAATCTCCTCTATGTGGCTTTCATGACCCTTCACTAAGTTCACCCTTTTGCCCAAATCTTATGAGGGGGAGGGGAAGATAATGAAAAAAATTGGAATCTGGGTGCCTGGGCTGGTGCCCTGTATTCTCATTCTGAATCTATTAGAAACTGTGTGACTTTAAGGGAAATCACTTGACTTCTTTGTCAAGAGAAATCCATTGCTTCATACTTCGGCTTCCTCATTTACAAAATTAAGATACTTACATAATACCTTACAGTACAGAACAGCAGTTCATTGAAGGTCTAAGTAGAAGAATGAATTTGACACACAGTATTGTAAGCACAAGAGACATGAAGGACTTAAGGAGCTCTAGAAGGCCTTGTAGATAGTGTACTGGGCCTGGAGTTAGGGAGCCCTGAGTTCAAATCTAGCCTCAGATACCAGCTGCCTGACCCTGGGCAAGTTGTATATATCTCTACATACACACACACACACACACACACACACACACACACACATGCGTACATATATGTACACATACATATACACATCCATGTGTGTACATACATGTACACATATACTTTATATTTATATGGCATGTACTATGTGCCAGGCACTGTGCAAATTGTTTTATAAATATTATCTTATTTGATCCTCACAACAACCCTGGGAGATGGGTGCTATTATTATTCCCATTTTGCAGTTAAGGAAACTGAGGCAAACAAAAGTTAAGTGACTTCCAAAAGGTTGCACAGCTAGTTAAGTATCTGAAACTGGATTTGAACTCAAGTTTTCCTAGCAACAAACTGGTGAGATAGCAATGTGTTTTTATACCCATTTTACAGAAGAGGAAACTGAGGCACAGAGAGGTTAACCTGCTTGTCCAGGGACACACAACTAATTAGGGTCAGTCAGGAACAGAACCCAGGTTTCCTGCCTCTAAGTCCTGTGCTCTCTTCACCACACCCTGCTTCTTCTTACAGATCCCTAAACATTGAGTGTGGTTGCCAGGGGGAGTAACTAAGGCTTTCTGAAACTCATTGGTCAGTCCCTCGACAGAGACAGAATGCTGTGGGTGATGGACAGGATCATAGGACTGACTCAGGATGGTATTTATGTCCCCCAAATGACCTAATATCGTACTACCCAACTGCACAGCCCTACTCTCCAATCAGGTTTATGGTTCGATGAGAGATTGTAGATCCTGGTCAAAGCCTGTATTCAATGTCCAGCAGAGCAGAACACTTCAGCCAATGGCAGCTTTATTGAGGGATGAGCCCCACCCTCAGAAACCCCACAATCAGCAGAGGAAAGGCAGGGCAGGGTTGGGGATGACTTAGGGCAAGATGTAGGAGACCCTTTAAAAACGTGGGATCATGGGTCAAGGGTCAGTATGTGAATGGTAATGAGGGTCAATGACATCTTTGCATATTAATAAAGGGCAGGGATATTAAAATGAGCAGGTGGGGTTGTGTGTTAATAAAGGGGCATAGCCAGCTGATTATCAGAGAAGTGAAGTTCCATCATAATAACGAGGAGGACAGGGACACTTCGTGTGTTGATCTCAATGGGCAGAGGTTGGGGTGAAGAAGGGCAGTCAGGTAGTAGACAGGGCTGGGACTGAGAGACTGTTGTGACCCTGGGGGCTCTCTCCATAGTTCCTCTTCTACTGTGGCTGTTTTTCATACTTCAACGTCTCATAAGTCTCCTGGTTCCGGGTACTCAGGCCCTAGGACAGTGAGTTAGGGATTCATCAGGGGACCAAGACCATCGTTCCAAACCAAGGTGAACTTCCCACTCCCCAATCCCCCTACCACCATGAGGACCATAGCCCTCCCAACAGCCTACCAGTCAGGCACCCTTAACCATGCTCTTCCCCAATGCTCACTCTTTGTTGATCATTTTCAAGATTCTCAATATCTTAAAGGAGCCAATCCCTTTAACCCACTCCTATGGCAAACAATAATGGCAAGGACCACAAAGTGTCACTTACTGTGTAGACTCCCTCAGATTTCTGTGAAAAGAAAGGATATAGAGTATAAGGGACCCAAAATCCTAGGAATCTCCTCAGTAACCATTCCCCCTTCTTTATGGCCCATGGGTAAATTTGGGATCTTTGTATGGAGGATTCTCCAGCTCATGGGGAGCTCCCAACTCCTATTACTAAGGTAGTAAGCAGGACAGTAGGCAGCACAGTGGATAAAATGCTGGGTCTGGAACCAAGAAGACTCATCTTCTTGAGTTCAAATCTGGCCTCAAACACTTACTAGCTTTGTGACCCTGGGCAAGTCACTTAACCTTGTTTGACTCAGTTTTCTCATCTGTAAAATGAGCTGGAGAAGGAAATGATAAAGTACTCCAGAATTTTTGCCAAGAAAACCCCAAATGGTATCATGAAGAGTGGGCCATGACTGGGGGGGGGGGAAGACTTAAACCAGGTCAGTCTCTAAAGGCTTCAGTGTGCATGGACCTTACTTTGTAATTGGGAATTTGTATCAATTACTTTGTAATTGATCAAAGATCAGAGCTGCAGCAGATCTACCCTTGTGTAGATGCCAGTCAAATGCCTAGCACTTAAGTACCCATACCCATGCTCATTGAGACCCACGAGTACATCCTCCTCAAACAAGCACAAACACCTCCATTTGCCACATCTGATTGCTGGTCTTGAGAATGTCAGGAGCTGCAGTGATATTGCGGTCCCAGTACCTATGGATATTTTTTTCTAACAGGATTTTACGCATCTTCTCCTTTGAGTCTCCAAACTCTGAGGCTTCCAGCTTCACTGAAGCTAAGGGTTAGCAAAGCCAATAATAGCTCCTGGGTATTGTGGGGTGGAAGATCGGGGAGTTGGTCCATACCTCAAATCTGGCAGCTGCCTTTCGCACCTGGATCTGAGGGAAGGGGAAAAAGAAAGCCATCAGTGTAGACAACGTCCTCCTCCACATAGCCACCTCATCTCCTCATGGACAAAACGGATTTCCCTTCCCCTTTTCTAGTATGTGATCCCTACCCACAGCAGCACTCCTACCCCTTTCTGCAGACCCCGGTACCTTGAGGCGGCAGTAGAGCAGTGTGAGGACAATGCCATAGGTGAACAGCACAGCGTCCAGAATGTAACAGAGCTGGGGCTCGGAGAGAGCCGCTGAAAAGGGCAAGTCACAAAGTCAGAGAACTTCAGGGGTCAGAGGGACAGTTGAGGGGGCCCTGAGGGGAGGAGCAGAGAGAAGGGAGGCTTTCTCCTTCTCTAACAGTGTACAGGTTTCACTATCAATTGGTCAGGACGGGTTGGGAAGTGAGAAAGAGAGTGAGCCTTTCAACACAGTCGAGTTGTCTTCTGTACTCTCTCTGCTGTTGGCTTTCCGAAAGACTGCTTCTTCTAGCGAAATAGGGCTTCGGTATTTCATCTTCTTCCTCTCATACCCTAAGCATGGATGTTTCCTCAGGCTCTGTCCTGGGCTATTTTGTGCCCGATGCTTAGAAGCTATCCTAGAAATGCTAATTAGTGTTAGCATTACTATTCTTTTCTTGATTCTGTTTTGCTGTTGCTGTTTGTTTTTGTTCAGTTGCATCCAATTCTTCCTGACCCTGTAGACCACAGAACACCAATACTGTCCATAGGGTTTTTTTTTAGCAAAGATACTTTCCTTCTCCAGCTCATTTTACAAACTGAGGCAAACAGGGTTACACGACTTGCCCAGATCACACAGCTACGAAGTGTCTGAGGCTAGATTCCAAACTCAGTTCTTCCTGACTTCAGGCACAGCACTCTATTCGCCACCTAGCTGCCCTTTTCTTTTGGTAGTCTCATTCATTCCTATGGCTTCATTTTATAAATATTTTCTTGAAGATTTTTATGTCTTTTTTACAATCATTTCCCAATATAATGGTCACCCCATTGAGCCTTCCCTTGTAATAACAACAAAAACAAATGAACAAATAAAACAATTAAGCAAAACCAATTAAACAGAAAGCACAGCTTTGGACCTTGATTCAAATCCTAGGTCTGACACAACACTTCTGTGATCTCTGGCAAATTGCTTAACCTCTCTGGGTTTCGGTTTCCTCTAAAACCCAGGAAAATAAGGGCGTCTTCTAGATGACTTCTGGGGCCTCTTCCAGATCTAAATCTGTAATTTGGTTTTACAGACAGGATGTGCAATATCCTATACCTACGGAGGAGGGATAAGGTGTTCCATCTGTTCTCCACCTCAAGATTAATGAATTCTTAATTAATTAATTAAAAAATTAGAGTTCATTATCTTTGTCATCGTGTATATTGTTCTTCTGGTTTACTTACTTTACTCTGCATCATTTCATACATGTCTTCCCATATTTCTCTGAATTCCTTATATTCATGTCTTCCATTACATTCATGGACTATGCTTTGTTCAGCTGTTCCCAATTAATGGGCACCCCCTTTTGTTTCTAGTTGTTGGGGGGTTTTGTTGTTGTTGTTGTTTTTTGCTACCACAAAAAGGGCGGCTATAAATGTGTGTGTGTGACTTTTCTTTCTGACTCTGAACTCTTTAGGGAATGAGGCTTGACTTCTTTTATCACTGCTATGTGACTCCCATATCTAAATGTAGATACAATTGATTAAAACAACTTTCTGGTTGCCATAATAAACATCTGATGCATTGTTCAATGGTAGAACTTCTTTCACTTTAAAACATTAAATGTTCAATCTCTTTTACTCTCAGTGACTTCTAACAACAAGTCACGTATGCTGGTGTGAGTATAGTCACTTGTTTGCAAAGTGTAAAATTTAAGTGTGAGGACTGACTTCTGTATTATGTTTTGAAGGTAATTGTGTATCTTTAAAGTAGTTTGAGTGCTGAAGGAAGCCAGCATGTGAAGAGGTTGAAAAGACAGAATTTGAATTGGTTCTCCATTTTGAGAACACCTACTTAAGTTGCTGCTTTCAAACCATATATCTATCCCCAATTTCTCTCTTGAGTTCTGATTTTACTTTTTTTCCCTCATTTTACTTTTCTAAGATAATGCTGGATATCTCTATATGAATGTTCTTCCAGCACTTCAAACTCAATGTGTCCAAAACTGAACTTATTGCCTTCTTCCCCCAAATTTGCCCTCCCTCCTAACTTCCCTATTTCTGTTGATGACATCATTATCCTTCCAGTCAATCAGATTCAAAACCTGAGTCATCCTTAACTCTTCTCACTCCCTTCTAGGTATCCTCTATGGTTCTTCCAGCTCTAAATCTATGTACTTATGGACATCATCTCTCATATGCAATCAGTTACCAAATGTTATTGACTCTTTTTATAATACTTCTTAATAAATGTTTACTGACTGAAATATAAGAGCTAAGTGAGTTGAGGAGATTTTTATTCCATCCTTATACTTCTATCTGTAAGGTATTTCCCCTTTCATATGTGGGCATTTTGGTTGCTGAAAGGAGAACAATAACATTTGTGCAAGAAATCAGATAGAGAAGAAAGTGGTTTTAAATTTTTTTCTAGACAGAAATCTCTTTTCTACCTCTCTCCTCCCTCCTCCCTCCCTCCATCCCAATGAGAAAAAAAGAAAAACAAAATCCTTGTAACAAATATGCATAGTCAAACAAAGTAAATTAGAACATTGGCCATGCCCCCCAGATATGTGTCTGTACCCATCTTTGACAAAATGTACTGAAAGGACCTGTCTGAAGGCAAAGCACTGACTGAGGAAACAATGGCCCTGTGGTCCATCAGTTCACTACCATGCATTTGTTTTCAGAGGTTTGAACAATGTAGCTGATAAATTATAAATTAAATAACTGGAGACTACAAGAAGACTATATATGGATTGTTGACGTAAAGGTGGAATTTTCTGAGATTCATGTTATAACTTAGAAATGGTCTCTGCTTACGAGAAGACCCATTTGCAGCATTAGAAGACAAGAACAGAAGATCAAAGGAGTAGGACATGACTGGTTGAAGAGAGAATAAAGGGAGGAACTTGGCCATAAGAAGAGTATGGGACAGAAGGCACAGGTGGCAATGAGAGGAGCTGCTTACAGAAGACAGTATACAGGAATAAATCAAAGCTGACAGGATCCAGAACCCATGCTAATTAGAAAAGTAGCATTATTTGCTTTATGGAGAGCTGATTGGCTGGAAGAAGGCAAGATTGTCCACCAGCACCATTTACAGCCCAACAGAGTGGAAACCTCTCAATGGTTTGCCTGGGTTGCCCTTTACTGCTCTTTCTATCTTGAGCAGGAAAAACAGAGAGGGAAAGATAGGCTTTGCACCTGCTTTGTTGTGAGAAGAGGCATAGTATGAGAAGAGGTCTAATTGGACAAAACAGAATACCCTGCTATTTGAAGAGCTGGCTGGGGAAAGGCTGCATGCTTTTATCATTATCTGCAGTTTGAGAGTGAGAAACTCCCCAGAATCCCAGATCTGAGAGAAGTATGGCAGTTCTCAATCTTCGGGGAACTACTTACTACTGGAAGGGCTTAATGCTTTCTTAGCACACTGACAAAGATGGCTGTTTGCTAAACGTGCTTCTTGCTGCTTCAGCAACTTGAGTAGACAACTTGCTCAACAAATGACTCATGGTGTAAATTGTTCTCTAAAAGACCATGGACACTAAATCCCAATGTCCAGAATTATCAGTTGCTCTAGGCATGTGGATTTTCCTAAGCATGTGCCTCCCTCCTAGTTTCTAAAAGTAGATGCCCACTTTCCCCCACAGGTACACATCCCTCCATGCGTGGAACCCAGATTCATGGACGAACTATTATATTTTGATATCTCCTGCTCTAATCCCTGTCCCAAATCCCTTTAGTATAAGGCTTTCTCCTTATCAGTGGAGATGAAGGCACTTCCAGATACAAAGGGCAGGGCAAAATTGGTGAGAGGTAAAAACTTCAGTTCTCAGGAAGTACCCCTTTTGAACTCTCCAAGCAAGAGTCCTCATTGAATCCACCTTCAGGACTTTTCAAGTGAGATTTTCCCCTTTGGGGACTTATCAAGGGACTCATGAAGCTTCAATTCTTTTCCTAGCATTGAGTCACTTCAGGTGCTCCTGGCTTCCAGTTTAGAGAGAGGAGATGGAAGAAGCCAACTCCATTTCAGGTTGCTGGAGGAAAAGACTATGGGAAGACATGAGAGAAGCCAGAAGGTTTCATCATTCCCTATTTCTTGTCTGCTATTCTAGAGACTTTGAGGAGCCTTTCCTTGGATGAGATCCAGGACCCTCTTTTTCAGTTGAGCTGACTTACCTAGGTCCCAATGTGAGAGCTTCTTCACTTTGTGTTGTCTGGTATATATCCTCCTGTGTATACCTTCCCTTCTTTATATTCTGCTAAGATGTGGATTAATGGGTTTCTTTGTCATTGGTTCATTGCTCACTGTGGAACTGGTATTGGGTGGGAAAGGAGTCATACCTGGGGTACAGAGCTTGGGCTCTCTCCTTCCCCACAAAACGACAAAGCCATCAAAAGTTGACTTAAACTCAATCATATCTCCTAGACAAATAATACTTAAGGGAGCAGACAGATATACTTCTAGTCTGGTACCCCCTCTCTCTGAAGAGAGCAGAGTGCTGGCTTCTGGCCCCAACTTCCTCCTTCCCCTCCTGACAGGAATGAAAGTCTCCCTTGGAGAAGGGTCAGGGGAGAAGAGGCTAGAGATGTCTATTCTGCCTCCCTTCTAGCCACACATGACAGTCTCCTCCCCTCTTCATTCTGCCACACTGCTTTTGCTCTCCATTGAGTATACATTATCATTATCCTTTTACCATCTGTTGTATAGATGGTATGACTTTTTCTGCTTTTGCTTTTTCCTCCCGTCTTTATCAGGTGATCTGTTCCTTCAAAATTCGGCTCTTCTTCTTGTCTTTTAATGCCTCTAATTAGGCCTCCTCACGAGCAGTGGCCTTCTGTAGCTCATGGTATGAAACTCAAAAAGTCCAACTTTCTGTCAGGCATGAGCTCAACAATAATTTCCCCATAGTCCTCAAATACCTATTTGATTTATAGTTTATCAGCTATAGCCTCTGAGGCTTGGAAAACAATTATATGTAAAGAACCCGATGGAGCACAATGGCCTGTAGCCATCATTTCCTCAGTCTAAGCTCTGCCTTCAAACAGATTCTCTGAGTACCTTTATCTGAAGGGCAGTTCTTTCTCAG